GAGTCTCTAAGAGATATACAAAAATTAGAGGTAGACTTAAGATATGTGGACTCATTAATCTAATTTGCTTTAGAATAAGCTTGTAACTCTAATAATAACGATGAAGGAAATAAAATGCTCTAAAACTGAGTTCTTCAAATATAACGAAGAATGTGAAGAACAAATATCTTATATATTGTAGTGGGATAGACAACAAATTGACTGAAAACATAAATGACATAAACAATATCATTTTTGGTAATCGTAACATACAATAGACTATCAACTAAAGTACGATAAATAGTGGATATAGTAAAAAAATCATTAGAGGGAGCATATTTCACATTCAATTTAAAATGACCATTTACTTCTCTAGTATTTGAAAAAGAAATATTATTCAAGGATGTTAGCAATTGTTACACTTGAATTTTTCAGCTAGTAGAAAGTCAACAAAGAATGTAAGTGAAAGGACATTCACTATGAGAAAGCATTAATGAAGTGTCTTTAAGAGCATTAATGTTAAGGGAGTCGATAGACCAATGGTGAAGGATCAACCGAGTCGTCGACACAGGGAGATATGGTTTGAAGGACTCTCAGGGGTAAATGCCCAAGGCCTAGCTCGCTGGGAAATATGTCCAGAATCTCAAAAAGGGAAGTTGACAAAAGGCTTCATCTCATCAAGTGGACTAGTCGACTGAACCACGGGAGATAAAAGACTTAGTAAAATTGCAAGTCTTGAGTCCTTTATAGGCAGTGTCGACAACAAGTTGGAGCAGTTACCATCGAGGGTTCGTGAAGAAGTGGTAAGCAGTTACAACTCAATGTGGGTTTTGAATAGAGGGTGTCTTGGATGACACGTAAGCACACTAGTGAGAAATTGAAGATTGAACATGGAGTAAATGCAGGAGTCCCTTAGTGCTCACAACAGTCATCAACGATTACTTTGTAAATAGAATAAATAGTAGGGTCATACATGGGATCAAAGGTCATAAAATTTCATACACAATCTTCATACCACTGGAGTACCCAAGTCAAAAAGAGAAACAGTTGAGGGAGAAACATGTATGCGTCTGGGTCCAGTCTTTTTTATTAAGCATTTTGCTTCCTTAAACGAACATGTACTTTTTACCTTTTCTTTGTTTCATGTCATTTATTACATTTTAACTTATCATTTATCACAACCTGACTTCATTTGAAATCTTTTTCTATGTCGTTATCATTCACGCGGCGAATGCATTTAAATCACATGCTTTCATTTTTCATAAAGAGTCATCCGAGCTTCAGTAGATGCTATCATCTCATCCACAGACCATTCAACTTTCTGGGTATTATAGGAGGTCCTCATAACATTAAATTGAGGAGGCAAAGACTCAAGAACCCTCCAAATTAGAGCGTTCTCACCAATTTCAACTTTGAGAGCTTTCAACTAATTATAATAGTGGATCAATTTCATAATATGCTCACGCACACCACTAACACCATCATACATAGTTTTTTCAAACAGAGAGAGATACTCACACTTCTTAGCCTTATCAAAAAAAATGAAATTCTCACCAATAGACTTCAGGTGATCTTTAACACTCTTATTTTCTGGTATGCTTTGTCTAATGGATTTTTCCATAGTGTAAGATATCATCTTAAGACACACTCTATTAGAGTGTTCTCATTTTTCATAAAGAGTCCTATGAGCTTCAATAGACGCATCAGTAATAGCGTCAGGTTTTTCAGTTCTCAGAGTCAAGGTACCTCTCAGCAGACTATCCAAAAGAATGACTCAACCCATCACGGGTCACTCAACAATTAAGCCCAAAATAATATTCATTTTATAATTAAATTAATAATTGATATAATAATTATATTTTATTTAATAATTAATTAAAGTAAATCCATAATATATTTAACCGATCATGCACACAAAAAATGAGTGAAAAATGGTGTATGATTTGAGTCATAAGTAAGAGGTATGATTCGAGTTAGAAAATTAAGTGATTTGTATCAATATTAATGAACATTTGAATCAAGAACCTATTTCTGTGATTCAAGTCACACAATCTGTGACTTGAATCACATGAACCGAGTCATGAATTATGGTGATTCAAATAAGAGTTCCAGAAGAAAAATAAGAAAACTTCAGTTCAATGTGATTCATATCAGACACTCTTGTGATACAAATCAAAGTGTTGTGATTCGAATCATGAAGCTTGTGATTCAAATCATGAAAATGTGGGGGGAAAAAACTTTCCCAAGTCTTTGTAAGTCTGATTCGAGTAATGTGTATAATGTGATTCGAATACAACTACCAAAGTCCCATTTTTGCAAATTTTCAATTAATATTTGTCATGACTTAAACCATTCTCAAATATAATTTCTGATCCAAAAATTATATAGATCTAATTGAAGCATATTTCTTACTATAACCAGACACTTTGATTTATGCATGCTTAAAATAGATTTAAAAACTACCCTTAGATGCACAACCAGTGAGGAGACTCAATAATTATATAAACAAAACCAAAAGCTCAACAGACACGCAATCAAAATATTTAATCCATGAATCAGAGACGTGCAATATGCAACTTCAACATTATTATTAACATCAAAAGGCTCAATATATATGAGTTTTAAACTACTAATAATATGAGAATCAGACAAAAGAAAGTAAAAGTGAATATGTTCAAGATATACAACATGACAAGAAACATAAATTTTTCTTGTTTGAAGATTATAACAACGATATCCCTTTTTCCCATCCCTGTAATAAAAAAAGTTACATATGGAAGAATGAGAAGAAAATTTACTACATTCTATGGACGAAGAACAAAAAAAAGTAGAGCAAAAACTTTCAAAGAAGAATAATCAAATATAAAATCATTCAGTTTTTCAAAACTAGACAAACTTGATGGTTACACTGTGATTCTATTAATAGTTTGAACAATAGAAAAAACCGGTTCACCCAAAAACTCATTAGAAACTGAAGTAGATAATCAAATGGAACAAGCAATCTCAACAATGTGATGGTGTTATCTTTTAGTAACTCCATTATATTGAGGAGTATTAGTACAAGATGTCTGGTGAATAGTATATCCAAGTAATTCAGAGAATTTATTAGAGGTATATTCACCACATAAATCACAACAGAAACACTTTATAACAATATTTTTTTCCATTGCATGAAACATATAATAAATGTATAAAATCAAATTCAAAATGATTTTTGATAAAGTAAACCCAACAATAACGAGAATAATCATCAATAAAGAAAACATAATATATAGATCCACCTTTATAAAGCTTTAGAAGAAGCCAAGTACTTTAATATAGAAATCAATACATATCCTTGATGATAATGCCATAAATAAAATATAAAAGGCCAAGAATTCAAACAAAAAGAAGCTAATAAAACAGTAGTCATTATCATCAAGCCTATTAGAATATAAAATCCTTGATGATAAATTTTAATTTTACTGATCCCATAAGAGTCAATTAATCTTATAAATTAGTCATGGGATACTAAAATTCTTGAATGATCATATTTTTTGTTTAAGAGCTCTAAGGTTACTCTCCAACTGGTATCTTTTTCCAAAATGATCTCAAACCTCCTTAACATTATCATATTTTGTTAGTTACACACTTATTGGCCGAAAAATAAAATTATTGATCAAGTAAAATTTTTTGAGTTACTAACATCTCATGTTTCCAATTCTTTTTTTTTTTTTCATTTATTGCTTCATCTGTTTTATTTGTGGACTCCATAAAAGTTCAACAAAATAACTCCATGTCCCCGTTCCTTTTAACTTTTTTAAATGACATTACTCCAATAATTATAATTTTTTCATTAAATTGAACCTTAATAAACTAAAAATATTTATTTTTTAATTGACCATTACTACTATTCTAAAAATTCAAAATATAAATAGTAAAAATAACTTTAATCAAATTCTTTTTTACCAAAAAACAAGCCAATAACACGAGACCAACCAATTAAAAGAATAAATAATCAAATTGTAACCTCAAAATCAAAAGAGAGTCTTGATTGTTGCAAATGTTCTATTTGAACAACCAAACTCTTTGATATCATCTTAATAAAAGAGAAAGAAAAGAGGTTAGCAATTTTATTAGAATAACTTAATATAAAGAATAAAAATTAAGGAAGGCTAGTTGGATTCAAATTAAGTGGAAACTCCTCAAAAAGGATGAATGAAATTGAATTCGGATGGAGTTAGTAAAGATAGGAGTGAGGCAGAATGTAGTGGAATTATTCAAAATAACAAAGGAGATTGTTATGGAGGATATTATAAAAGTGTGGTAGATGTAATGCTTTTTGTATTGAGTTATGGCGAGTGTTGGAATGACTCAAATTACTCAAAAAAATTATGTTGGAATAAGGTAGAGATTTGTGTGAATTTCTTATCCGTTGTGGAAGCCATAAATAAAAAAGTTCAAAGGAAGTGGAAGGGTATGCAATTGTGAAGCAAATTAATTTCCATACTAGGACAACAAAATAACCAACTTACATTAGAAAATATTATATACAAAGCTAAAGCTAAAATGATACAACAATATACTTTTTTAACTACCTTAATAAAGTCTTGTCGTATAAATAGTCTTGCAAGTAATTAAGTGGTGAATAATCTTCAGACACATCATTCTTAAAAATCTAACTTAAAATTTTCTTTATATTTTATTTATTTATTTATTTAAAATTTTGATATTCAACCTTACTAGAGATCCTTTTTCTAATAACCATAAAGAAATAATTCGATTATATAGTTCTGTGATCATGTGGGTCGCGGACAAAATATACTCAAAGCTCAACACCTTCTATATTTGTCCATCTTCCACTAAATTGTCTTTCCCTTGCCACGTTCAAATGTCGGAACAGTGAGACAAAACACCAACAAACGAAAACTGTCGGAAGAGCTAGCTACCCTTGTTTATACTCCAGCCTTAAACTTCAACAACACAACAACAAAAGTATAACAGAGCAACCCCTGTTCTTTTTTTTTTTTAATATTTTCAAAATGAAACACTTTCTCAGATTCTTGATTCTTCTAGCTCTATTTTATTTAGTAGAATCTTCATGTGAAGACCAAACCTTAATTTCAAAGGCTTTCAAATCTGTCTCTGGTTTCAACTCTTCAACTTTATTCCAAACAAGAGGCTCCTCCAACTGTTCAAACTCTCGTATCACTCAAATAGTTCTTCCCTCCAAAAATCTAACCGGAACAATTTCATGGGCTTACCTCAAAAACATGTCAAAGTTACAAATTCTTGACCTCTCAGAAAATTCCCTACAAGGCCACATACCAAGCTGGTTTTGGTCTAGTTTTTCATCCTTACTAGAAATAAACCTCTCAAGAAACAGATTCGGAGGAAGCATCACCGTTGAGTTGAAAAACACATCAACAATTGAAAACCTCAATCTCTCACACAACAGGTTCAGTAATTTAGTTCAACTTTCTACCTTCCAAAACCTTAAAATCCTCGACCTTTCACACAACAACCTAAGAACACTTCCCTTTGGTATCCAAAACCTCACCAAATTACAACACCTTGACCTTTCAAGCTGCAATATCAAAGATAACATAAAACCAATCTCTTCTTTACTCTCGCTTCATTACTTAGACTTATCCAACAACAATTTAACCGGAACTTTCCCTACGGATTTTCCGGCAATTAACAATCTCAAATTCCTCAACATTTCAAACAACAACTTCACCTTTAACAAGCCAAACCAAAATCCAGAGGAACTCATTATCATTCATAGAAAACAAACCAAACCAAAAACCAAAAGATTCATCCTCGCAGTGTGTTCTACACTATCCACACTCGCTATAGCTCTTGTTTTCATTTGGGTTATCCGTATAATTCTCAAAAAGAGGAAACAACGTTCAAAGAAGAAGAAATGGGCAATCTCAATACCAGGCACGATGAACACAAAGGTGGATAAAACAGGACCGTTTGAGTTTGAAACAGAGTCCGGCTCAACATGGGTAGCAGATGTGAAAGAACCAACATCTGCACCCGTGGTGATGTTCGAGAAGCCATTGATGAACTTGACCTTCAAGGATCTCATTGTTGCCACGTCACATTTCGGGAAAGAGTCGCAGATGGCAGAAGGAAGATGTGGGCCAGTGTATTGGGCCGTGTTACCCGGTGAAATCCATGTGGCAATCAAGGTTCTTGAGCATGTCAGAGACGTTGATTATGATGACTCTGTTGCTATGTTTGTTGAGTTATCGAAGCTGAAGCACCCTAATCTGTTGACTCTCTCAGGTTACTGTATTGCAGGTATGTGTGCCGTACAGAAGCTGTTTTTGATGAAACCATTCAAGTTTTTGGTTCTCTCATTAATGATCTTCACGGGTTTTACATTTTCTAATGTCCTATTCTCTGCAGCATGTTTCATAGTATTGTTTTTTATTGTGTGTTTTGTCACTGTTTTATTTGTTATATGAAAAATAAAATAAAAAATCTATGATTTTATGTGGGTATTTGTGTCTATGCTCTCTAGTTTCTGCAGTCTTTAATTTTTTTAAAGTAGATGTACCCTTAACATAATGGGCAAAACATTAATGTTTTTGTTTTTAAATGAATACATTGGGAAGTACTAGTAGCAGTATTTTTAGATACTATCTTCCTACTTGGTGGGGTCTCAACCAGTTTGAATTCATGTACATATGGTTCATAATCATGTGGAATCTTTGTTTGATTTATTATATACATTATAACTAAATCCATTAATGATTATCATATTGTTGTATTGGAATATTACATAAATAATATCATAAGCAATAATCTAATACTGTTCTTCAAATATTTTGGTTAAATTTTTTCAGGTAAGGAGAAGCTAGTGCTATACGAGTTTATGGCCAACGGCAATTTAGGGCGATGGTTACACGAGCTTCCAACCGGAGATACCAACATCGAGGATTGGACTGACGACACATGGGAGTTCCAAAACATCATTGTTGAAGCATCCCCAGAAAAAATGGGGTGGCGGACACGCCATCGAATCGCGGTGGGGATAGCGCGTGGCCTCGCCTTTCTCCACCACGCGGGTTCAAAACCTATTGTACACGGCCACCTTGTAACCTCCAACATTTTACTCACCGATAACTTCGAGCCACGAATCTCCGATTTCGGATTGCGAATAGACTCAGGTTACAATTGTGACACAACAGGTGATGTATATTGCTTTGGAGTGGTTTTGATGGAACTGCTAACCGGGAAGATTACTACATCGGAGATAATTGCGGCGGCTAGAAAGGCGGCGAAGGAAGGACAGCATGTTAAAGTGCTTGATGAGAGGTTGAATATTGAAGAGGACTCAATGGTGAGTGAGATGGTGGAGAGTCTCATGATTGCTTTCTTGTGTACGGCTGAGTCGCCTTCCAAGAGACCCACCATGCAACAAGTTTTGGGCTTACTCAAAGATGTTCGTCCTCATGAATCATTTGTTCTAAGTTGAATGTTGATTGGTATAGTATGTATATGCCTTCATTTATTTGCCTAGTTTTAGCTTCTTTTCTGAAAATATTAATTGATATTTTAACTTAGAAAATCAAAGTATATTTGTGGTTTTCTATTTTTATTTTTATTTTTATTTTTATTTTTCACACTAGATATGATTAAGATATTTTCTGTTTACAAGATTGTTTATATTAAAATATTGATATTCTTTAATTTGAAATATAAAACTATGTCGTTTAATTTAACTATAAAATCTATAAAAAAAAATTCAAAAATGGTTAAGTATTAATTTTTGAGTCTTTTAAACTAATTATCTAAAAAATACATAAATAAATTAAAATAAAACAAGACAATGCATAAAAGGTTTGTTTGGTTGATTATGTGTTTAAATTTTTTTATAATTGTAATGACCTACAAATTTTAATTTTATTCAATTAACTAATTAGGCTAATAACGCATATACTTTTAAGAGTAAGGGTGTACTTATGCTCCATTTCAATATATTTTTTATTTATTTTTTGGAATTTATATTTTTATAATTCACGCGATATTTTGACAAACTATTGCATCATATTGACAAAGGATTACTAGATTCGGTTGGAGAGATGAATGAAGAAGTAGGAAGACATTTTTGTGAGATATTTATAGAAACTAAGAGCATTATTATCTGACATTTTTCACCGTTCCTACACTAGTCCCAAAGTTTCAATGTCAGGGTTTATGGATAATTCAAGCTTAAAGCACGTTACCAAATTCTCAACCGTTCTTTACTGCAATAACGATCTTTTTAATTATAGTTGGATAAGAGTAAGGGTGTACTCATGCTCCATTTTCAACATATTTTTCATTTATTTTGTGGAATTTATATTTTTATAATTCACGCGATATTTTAACAAACTATTGTATCATATTGACAAAGGATTACTAGACTCGGTTGGAGAAATGAATGAAGAAGTAAGAAGACATTTCTGTGAGAAATTTATAGAAACTAAGTTCAATAGATCTTAGAAGAGCCTTTTTCTAACCAAGAAATCAAAGAAGCGATTTGGAGGTGTGAGTAGTCAAAGAGCCCTGGTCCTGATGGATACAATTTTCCATTCATTCAAAACTGTTGGCACATTCTTAAGGGTGACTTACTAAGGTTCGTTAAGGATTTTCACGGTAAAGCTAAGTTGTCTAAAGTTATTACTTCCTATTTCTTAACATTTATCCCTAAAAACTCAAATCCTCAAGGCCTATATGAGTACATAATCATTTGCCTGGTGGGTTGTTTATACAAAATCTTATCTAAACTTTTAGCATCCAGGTTGAACAGCGTTTTGGACTTTCTGATTTCAAATTGCCCATCTACTTTTGAGTCTGGTAAACAACTTTTGGATGGAGTTTTAATTGAAAATGAGATAATGAATTCAACAATAAGATCAAAGAAAGATTGCTTACTCTTCAAGGTTGATTTTGAGAAGGCGCATAATAGGGTAAGTTGGAACTTTCTCAGGTATATGATTAAGAGAATGAGATTTGGAAGTATCTGGATGAATTTGATTGAGGACTGCGTCTTTAGTAGTCATATGTGTGTGTTGGTTAATCGGAGTCCAACTTTGGACTTTAAGTTTGGTATGGGGTTAAGGTAGGGAGATCCCTTATCACCCTTTCTTTTTGTGATCATTGTAGAAGGGTTAACAGGTCTAGTTAAGAAGGTTGCTGATATAGGAGAGTTCAAAGGTTTCATAGTTCAGGATAAGATCAATGTTGATATTCTCTAGTTTGTAGATAACACTCTGCTTATTAGAGAAGGGAGTTGGAAAAATGTTTGGACTATAAAAGTTATCCTAATAGGTTTTGAGCTTGCTTCATGATTGGAGTAAATTTTCACAAAAGTAAATTAGTTGGTATAAATACTAGTCCTCATTTTCTTTCAACAACTACAAACTTTCTATCTTGCAGGATTGAAAATAAAGCTTTTACCTTCCTTGGAATTCCCATAGATTTAAATCCAAGGAGAATCAAGATGTGGACACCTTTGTTGGATAAGTTAAAATGAAAATTGACAAAGTGGATAGGAAGATTGTTATTTGTGGGGTGAAGAATCACTCGTATCAAGTTTAACCACAACAATCTTTCCATTTTTCTTTTTCTTTCTTCAAGACGCCAGTGAAGATATGGAGAGAAATCAAGAAAATTCAACAAATATTCTATGGAGTACTTCATAGGGAAAAAGAAAACTCACTGGGTAGATTGGAATAAAAATGTAGACCAATCAACGAAGGGGGCCTAGGGGTGAAGAATGTATAAGATTTCAACCTACCCTTACTTTACAAATGGAGATGGGGAATACTAGTGGAGAAAATGACTATTTGGGCGAATCTGGTAAGGGCTAGGTATGAGAATCTTACTCATCAAGTTCTTTTAGTTGATACTAGTAGCATTAGAAGGTCAGAATATTCTTGTTGGAAGGATCTATCAATGCTTGACTTAAGAGCAGGAAAGTCTGTTTTTTATTTTGCAAGAAAAACTCATTTTAATATTATTAATGGACATACTATTCCTTTTTGGATTGTTGCTTGGAGTGAAAACATCAGTTTGAAATTATTGTACCCTGATCTGTACCAGGTTAACAATAAAAAGGAGGAATTATTAGATTAATTATTTAATTAATCAAATATGGATTGACATAATTAATTATTAATTAATTATTATGGTCTATTGTTATTAAACACTAAATAGATAAATTGTTTTATTGGGTTTTGTGCCTGAATGAACTTTGATAGGTTGGACCATTCAGTTAAGCCCAATGAGAGGTCTCTGTCCTCAGTCGTTTAGCTATTTAAGTGTCTCTCCATTTAACAGATTCTGAAAACTCTAAACGGCAATGAGGGTAGAATCCTCTCATATTCACCCGCCTAAATCGATCGTCTCTCCAATTCGACAAGGTACATCGTTCTAATTATTCTAGATTAGTTTTTTGATTAAATGGAATGCTATAATTTGTGTTTACTCAATTACGTTAAATCCGTCACAAATTAGTGGAGAGTATGGGTTACTGATGAAATAATGAGTGACATTTTGGTGATATTGGGATACCTAGCATTTTGCTAATTAACTTACAACCCAAAATGCATGAAATGTTTGCTTATTGGATGATCTAATTCAAAAAAGTGAAGTGGGAGATAATGTGTTATGGAAATCAAATTTGATTATAGGATACTCTATAAAATCTGGCGATAAGTTGTTGCTGTACACAAGTATACAAATGGTCAAGAAGACGGAAACAAAGAAGTGTTTATTAGACTGTGGAAAGCCTAAGTTCCTGCCAAAATAAAAGTTTTTAGGTGGAGGATTTTTCTAAATAAACTTCACGGTAAAGATCAGCTGAGGAGGAGAGGAATTATTTCTTCAACTCATGAATTCTCTTGTGTCTTATGTTTTCAAGAAGAAGAGCAATTGGGTCACTTATTATTTCAATGTCATGTGATTTATAACATTTTGTTTGGAAGTGGAGGTGTGGCTAGGGAGAACCTTGAGTAGCACAGATGGTCTAGTGTGGAGGAGAATTTTAAATTGGAACTGTTCTGGCCTGGGTCCCGGCTTGAACGGACAGGCCCAGCCCAATCCAGCTTGGGTCACAGCCGTCGAGCACAGAGTCCTCGGCGGGCAGGTAATGTCCCTCCGCGGGCAGAACCTTCCTCTTCTGTATCGAACCCAAGACTCTCCGTCGACCAGACACTGCCCCGTCGGGCAGAACCCCCCTCCGCGGGCAGAACCTGCTTCCTCCGCGGGTAGAGCCTGCTCGCTTGTCGGGCAGGACAACGTGTTCTTCACACGTTCTCCACGTGCTCCCCTCCGCGGGGACACGTCATCCACCAACTGTCCACCTCCGAAAGAGCAGGTCAACCCACTTTCCGGAGTCCACGGAGCAGTTGAACTAGGGCGAAGACCATGTTCTGGTCTTCACTACGCCACGTAAGCCCTAAAGTCACTTGGGTTGGGCCTGGCCATACAGCCCAACTCAAATGACCGTTGGCCCTGCGCTGGGGTCTCTCTATAAATACTCTCTTTCACAAGAGGGTCAGGTAATCTCTTATTACCCCTTTTCTGTACTTGTGACCACTCTGTCCATACGCTTACTTTGACATTGGAGTGGCTTGCAGGTACACCCCCCTCCTCTTCTTCAACACCGGTGAACAAACAGTAAGTCAAAGACGCGTGGCAGCCAGCGATCCCCTTCTGATCAGGTCAGATCAGGAACATAAGCTTGAAGAAGAAATTAAAGGAATAGAAGGAAGGTGTAGTTTGGTTGGCAGTACTTTTATGTGTTTGGAATGTTAAAAATGACATATTGTTTAAAGGTTCGGTTTGCAATGTTCTGGATTTGATTTGGTTTATAAAATTGATGTTATGAAAATGGTTTTTTATAGGAAATATTTCTTATTACAACTGTAATTTTTTAAGTTTTGTATGACTCTAACGGTAATTTTTCATGATTGTTCGCCAACCTGACATCTTTTTTTGCATAAAATATTTATTTGAATACATCCAAGGTGGCGCTACATTGCAGTGTGAAGCAACAAATTGATGTTTGAAGCAACAATACAGATCTTACAAAATACATATATTTAATGTTTATTTGTTAATAAATTTTTTTATATGAATAAAATATTAATATGAGATAAAATTGTGAGACCTAATATCATTATTTTAGAGTTGCATTATTGAAATGAAAAATTGAATAAGTTATTTCAACTAATGTGATTTAATGGTCCTACAAAAAAACTCAAAAATGAGTAACACCATTAGTGATACTCTTAATTATCTTATTTAATTTGATATTGGTTTGAAATTTCTCCTCTCCCGAATCTTCCCAACTTTTTGTAATCGAGCAAGACTACTTTCTCTACTCTAATCAATAAATAATTGGTTAAAAAAAAGTAACAACTTAATTAGTGACTATACAAGTGAAAGACATAATATCTTTCTAGTTCTAATGAATTTTAATAGATT